TTGAATATTTTTCTTTGGCAAAAAAATATATTTTTGAAACATTTTTTTTTTTTTTGGTTTAATTTGTATCTTAATTTTCATGTATTTTTGTTGGTCAGTTATCTACTAGATGAACAAGAATAACGAATAACATCTGAGGGGAAGTGCTTCAGTCCGCTATATGCTTCAGCGCCAAAGTGCACACTGGTTTGTTAAATAAAATAAAATGTAGCCTAAATAAAATTAAAGTAAAATATTTACATTTTCAAAAAAACTTATATTAAATACAAAATCAAGTAATTTCAATAAGTGGGAGAAGCTTTTACAATGTAATAGCAAGACTAAATCTGTTTCTAGATTACATCAGAAGAACAAACTTGGTCGGAGGCTGAGAGAACTCAGAAAAGTTTTGTGAGAATGGAGGTGTCTGCATATTTGTGCCAATCTGTCAGATAAAATTGCTTAAAACACTTTAATATAGTTAAACGCCCATTTGTCATGTATGACTCTACACAAAACCCTACATCAAGGAAATCGTTCTAAAATCATAACAAAATCGTGTAATTTGATCGAGGTTTCATTTATTAATCATGCTAATATTCAATCTATATCATTTTCTCAGATATTAACCTATCAATTTGTAAATTAAATGTTGATTAATGCAGGTTTTGTAATAATCACAATGATAATATGAATCAGAGTTGTATGCTTATTTAATAAGTTAGGGATACAGTACATCAAGGAGGTTTGTTATTGCAGAACTAATCTGCTTATCGGCAGCCCAACCTAAAGTGGAAGGCTGTTTTATTAGGACGAAGGGCTTTATTCTGCAAAATCAACTATCCTGGGTGTACTTTATCCTGATTTTACATGGCTGCTTGCCACAAAACATAAACATAAGATACAAAACTTTGAACCTTAACAGTTTATTAGCTCTTTAATGAAATACAACAATGACAGAAACTAAAATAGCTGATGAAATATACAATAACTTGTGCATTGTCCAGTCACAAGATGGCACCAAACAGTCAGAAATGCAAAGCGGAAAGTAGTTAAACCTGCTGAATAAAGCATACTAACTAACCTACATATTAATTTATAAAAACATGGTGTGACAGACAAGCAGATGCATATGAATGTGGATGTAAGTATTTAGAGTTGAATGTATTCACTAAGGGTCAAGGTGATTCAAAGTTCCAGGATAAGCCTTTGATATTTAGCAGTTGTTATCTCAATATAACATCACTTGTAATGTTATGATTGACCAATCAAATAGAGAACCAGAATGGAATCTTCCAGGCAGCAGTGTAATAATCACTTACCTTTTTCTGGATTGGAAATTCAGACGAGCATGTACAGTAAACAGGGAAGTAAAGGCTAGATGTATTTCCGAGCATAGAATGCCTTTGTGATACTGTACCTTGACTCAGGTTATTTCATCGGATGCTTATCCTACATTGCCTCTTGTAAAGACACCACTAAGATTCCTTCAGAGAGAATGTGTTAACCTCCAATTGCCACCAGCAACACAAAACCCCAAACAGTTTATCACACACAGTCAATGAGGAGAACTTCACCTCAGACCAGATACGATCAGAACCTAAGAACAGCTCCTTTCACAAGCCGATGAAGATAGAGTGGAAAAAGAGAAAAGTCTTCCTGTAGTGTGATCAAGTTGATGGAGGTGGATGATAATGGTTGGAGACACTGGGTTTATGCTTGCATTAAAGGCCCATAGGCCAGCGATTAACAGTCAAACACATGCATGCTCAGCCGGATAATCTGAGCGCTGCTGCTGCTGAATGATAAATACAGCCTGGGCTCCAGCAGGGTCAGACGTAACAGCTACAGCGTTCAGATATTGTATTAAAACTTGCCCTATGAGACTGTCCTAATTCCAAAGAGCCTGACCTTCAGAAGATTATATGTAAACGGTCAGCGACTACATTCACACTTCTGCAGTGTCGGCTCATTCTGAAGAACTAAAATACAGTAAAATGAGTTATGGGTGTGAGAGGAAACGACAGCCGTATTATTTTCTGACTACTGCAGTTTTACAGATGTCACAAATTGTTTTAGTTTTTTTTTTTTTTGAAAGTGAGTTTGGCTGATGTGTGCAGAAAGGCAGCTGACAGTGTTATGTCAGTGATAAACGTATGAAATAGGTATGTGCTTCCCGGGTTATTTTTTCGCTGTCAGCCAGTAATGTAAGGCCTGTCAAGGTCTCTATTTATGAAAGATGGAAGCAAAAAGAGATCACAGATCTAGAAGAACAGGAGCAAAGAGAGTGTCCAATGCATTTGATGCATTTGTAATAAAATATATTTATTATTGTCATTATTCATGGTATTCTGATTGTTTTGCCTTTATAAATATTTGTTGATTTGTAACAATTAAGTAAGGCAAAGGCAATAAACAGATACAATTGCAGTATAATATTTTAGGCCTTGAGATAAACCAAACCAAACAAGTACAAATTTTGTGTAATAAGATGTATATGTTTTTCATTTGGATTGTGAACATTTTATATATATATATATATATATATATATATATATATATATATATATATATATATATATATATATATATATATATATATATTTATTTATTTATTTATTATTTTTTTTTTTACTTGAAGATAGACAACAAAAGCTTTTCAAGTCTAAGGAGATCTTATTTTTCAGTGTCAGTATTAAAATCAAAAGTTATTGTGATTTATATTTCTCAATAGTGGAAGAATGGTATGTGTCCAGTTAGTGTGGAATAACAGTATAACTCAAATTCATCACATCACTTTAAACCACTAAAGATCTGATTCCTTTATCTTTGTTTTAACACAGTAACAGAAATTTTAGGATAATATTAAGCATTTTTGGAACACTTTATTTTGATGGTCTATTAAAGTATTAGTAGACTGTCTGCTTAATATCTGTTGATACTTCTCCTTCAACAAACATTTAAATGACTGTAAGAAACTTTGCAAGTACATGTCATCTTACACTAACCCTAACCCCTAATGAGAATTAGTTGGCACGTAGATGCAATGTGTCTAAATTCTACAAACGGACCATCAAAATAAAGTGTGACCAGCAAGTTTATTATTATTATTATTATTATTATTATTATTATTATTATTATTATTATTATTATTATTATTATTATTATTTAAAATAAGAAAATATAAGTACAACAATAAATACATACAATGTGGACATACATCATAGCTAAATGTCATTTATTTAGAAAAGCTGGTGCAGCACACTTCTGTATATACCGTACTACTTTAAACTGTTCTCGCGCTCCTGCTTCTCACAATATAAATACATATATAAACAAATAAACTCTGCTTGCCATAGTTTACACAGGACTGGCAGTATATACTGTATGGTATGTGGTTTATTTTGATAGGTTATATGATTGTGTGGTGTTAAGCGCTCCTCAGTGCATTCTGAGAGAGAGAGAGATCATGTCACTCACCTCTTCGGTGAAATTTTCCCTGGTTTTTGTATGAATCAAATATGGTTTCTCAGCAACGCTTAAAGCCTTCCACTCTCTGTCCTTCCATTTGTTCATGTCGGCTCTCTTTTTTTGCAGAGGATTTGCCTTTTAATGTCCGAAAGCAGACATGACAGCCATCTCCATCTCCAAACTTCGTTGTAAATGTAAATGTTTTTTTTAACATTACAGACTCGTGCTTGTGTGAAAATATCCCCAAACTGTTTCTGTAAACAAAGTTGACATTCAATTAATGTCACATGGTTATCTATTTTTTTATTTTTTATTTATTTGGACTTAGACAGTTGTTCATCGGGCACACTCATTTGTTACAATCAAATTAAAAACAAGTAAAACAGGGCAGGAATGAAACACTAAAATGAATTAACTGGGGCAACAAATCGAAATGAACCTTATCGATTTTGTTAGCTTACATTGCTAGTTTGCCTTTGAACAATTCATTTGTGCATGTCATTAAGACAAAAAGGTATTGGTATCTGAGGTATTGGACAGGGTTAGCATACTTCACCACACCTCTCCAACTGTCAGTTTTGACAGCACTATGATAACAAACAGAAATGGTGAAGAGGGGGTGTCTGTTAGGTTGTAATAACTCTCCCCAAACAATTTTCCGGATCTTTGTTAATTAAATGCCTACTTTACTACATCCAATCAGCTTGCAGTAGAAAAAAACAAGCCATGCCCACTGTTTTCCCATTTAAAATTCCATTTCTCTATGAAGTGTCACAATATGAAAAAAAGAAAAAACGGTTGCAGCTTCCAGTTCATTCTGACTTTAATAAGTGGATGCAGGAGGGATACAGACAAACCATTACAATGACTTTCGTACAGAACTGTACAAGGTTCATAACAGTGATGGCATTTCTAGATCTCTATAAATTATATACTTCATTCATTCATCAACATTTATTATTTACATTATTTTAATATACACTAAACATATTTTAAGACTATATTTAATGATTTAGTCTGTGCTTTTTACATTTCAAGCAAACATATGACTCTGTATAATGACAGTGTTGATAATGACTCAGACTGTTCTAAACTGAATATATGCGCTCAAGATGTTTGCACCCAGATCCAGGTGACTATTCGAAAAAACAAGTTTTGATATTTACTATTCATATCTGTTACTATGGTTTCAGTCATTACGCAAAGCCATTAGAGATGGAGAATGACTTTGAATAAGTGTTCACACAGATTTGATCCATTCTGCGGTTGTTTACATACACAACAATTAGAGAGTCGCACCTGCTAGAAAGCACTGCTGTCAGTCCCAAAAACTCACTGTGGGTGCACAGCCAGAAATGGAAGGAAGGAAATGTCTGTTTTAGTTCATCTACACATACATTTCATGATATTTTCAGCATGGCTCAAACCACCACCTGTTAAATTGCATATACTGTTGATGTTACTGGAGAGATTATATGAAAGAGGATTGACCACCTCTCTCTCTTTCTCTCTTCCTCCCTCCCCTCCAATTTCCTCATATCCCTCTATAGCAGCAGATGGTGAGGATCCAACTTCAGCAGGTGGGATATATCTAGATATGGTAATTGTTGTGTTCCCCTCGTTTGGCTCATGTATCTCTCTTTGTTGCTCTTCCTTCTCCTGTTGTCAGTTTGGGCATGTGTGACCTTGCCTGCATGAAATTCACACGTCTGTTTCAGAGCTCTTGCCTTACCTGTTCCTTCACACCTCCTCTAGATCTCTTCTGATGTCATGTCGTCCTTGATGTGTTTTTCTGTCTCCTCACCGTGACGTTGACTCATAGAGCATCTAAAAAAATAAATAAAAATAAAAAAACACTTGTTCGTGATACATCACCTAGTGTCCTTTCAGAAGCTGCTATTCTGATTGCTTGCTCATTGTTGACCAGTTTGTATGCCTTTGGCGATAATTTGCATATGTTGCACTGTAAATATACATTCTTAAATAGACATAATTTGGTTTTATATGGAAATTTGGCTTTCTCTGCCTCCTCTCGACCTTCTTGGCTCCTTGATATCACACCCATTGATTCCTCTCATCATGCCTGGTCAGCAGTCGCTCTCAAGCCGGTCAGCAGTCAATCTCAAGCTCACTGATCTCTGCTTTGAAGATGCTCAAATTCTTCCCTCCTGCCTCCTTTTATCTGCTTCCAGACTTTCTATAAAACACTTCAGCCCTCCAGTCTTCATGTTCACGGGCGTTCCTCTCACATTGTGAGCAAGATGCACATCTGTTGCAGTCTGGCACCATATACAGTTTCTGTAATTCTTGTGTTGTTTTATTTCTTGAGACTTAAATGTGATGATATGTATTGCCTTTATAAATGTTAAGGAATATTGTGCATTAGGGTAGTCAAGCCACAAATATATGCATTTATAAATCATTTATAAACGTGTTAGAAGGTAGATTTTTCAGATGGATCATCTGTTGAACTGCATCCTCATCATCACAAATACTGCAGAAGACCTATTGGAGCCCTCATGGACCCAAGATTCTCAGAGAAATCAGTCAAGTTTGGTGAAGGAAAAATCTTGGTTTAAGGTTGCATTCAGTATGGGGGGCATGCGAGAGATCTTCAGTGTGGATGGCAACATCAACAGCCTAAGGTATCAAGACATTTGTGCTGCCCATTACAATGCAAACCAGGAGAGGGCACATTATTCAGCAGGATAGCGCTTCTTCTCATACTTCAGCCTCCACATAACATTTTCTGAAAGCAAAGAAGGTCAAGGTGCTTCAGGATTGGCCAACCCAGTCACCAGATATAAACATTATTGAGCATGTCAGGGGTAAGATGAAGGAGAAGGCATTGAAGATGAATTCAAAGAATCAAGATGAACTCTTGGAGTCCTGCAAGAACACTTTCTTTGCCATTCCAGATGACTTTATTAATAAGTTATTTGAGTCATTGCAGAGATGTATGGATGCAGTCCTCCAAGCTCATGGGAGTCATACACAGCGTTAATTATTTTTGCACTGAACCATGACTTATTCTATACTGTACATTATTACTGTTAGGTGACAAGACTTTTGTCTAAACACAGTCAGGCCTTACTGTCCTAATTATATAATTAAAAATCAAGGCATAATCATATTTTATTTGGGTAAAATTAGTGTAATCTAGAGGCCTTTGCCTTTTATATAAGCCTTCTGATACCAAATGATCAACCAGAAGTCAAGTTGTTATTTGTTATTCCTAAGACTGTTGTTATGTAGAGTATATGGCAAATATGGTTTACAAGGACAGTTCGTAAGCTTAATGATTTTATTCTATAGAAAAATATAAAAACTAAATATAAAAAAATAAATAAATAAAATCTGGCCTCAATTTACCCCTAAACTGAAGTGGACAAGATGCTGCATCTAACAAACCTTTACCAAACTAACTAACTAACTGACTAACAAAACAAGTACTTCCATTTATACCTGTCCAGTCATGACAGATTTATCTTGTCAATGCTGGCAAATGAGCAATTCTGCAGCTCACTTCTGCATAGGGCACCACCTAACAAGGGTATCCAAGTATCCCAGGGGACTCCATCAGCACACACCCAACCCCCTGCAAGACATTGCAATTTTGACAGCTAAAGTAATGGTGCATGCACAATTGTAAACAGTTTCAAACATAAGACAACACAATGTGAATGTACTGCAGTCTATGCTTTTCCTTTGCACCTTATAATCAAATCTCAGCAAATTCATTCATAATAACCATGGTTAGATTAAATACTTTAATGAGATGATTACTTAATCACAACAGGTTTCCTTATGCACAAGCACAAACTCACACATGAGCTGATGCTGTTTCTTTCAACGCAGTCTCACAGCAAATTATAACTTTTTGTCTAATTCGTATTTTACTGGATAAAATACAGTTTTAACCCACAAATGAGCAGTCTGTCAGATGAGGAAGAGCCGGAGTCAGAGACAATCCAAAATACAGTTTATTGAAGATAGCTTGCAGTTTCTTCAGCAGAACTCAGCTTCAACACTCAGCTTCAATGAGTTCATAGTCCGCTCTCACAATCACAAAACATCAACAATTATACTCTTATAAAATGTCATTAACTGTGTCATACATATAGGTGTTTAAACCTGATCTGTTATACTTAGAACATTTCCACGTAAAATTCTGCATGATCTCTCAATATCTCAAGCATACAAACGTCAGATAGCCACTAAGCTGTTCAGAGCTGACCCCAGACCTGTTAAATGGTCCATAAAGGAAGAGAACAGACACACAAAGTACAATCTGTTTCTTACTTAAGGCTGAGTGTACTCTTCATTGTCTTATCAAAACCGGTTAAAAGCCATTACAATCTACATCCAAAGTGGCATCTTGCATACTACACAACATCTGTCTTGCACAAAAACGAAATCACTTTAGACAGCATTAACTTATAGCAATAACAATATGAACAGTTGTTTTCAGTCATCAGGACCTGCAGTTCCAGGCAAGAGGTTTCCAGACCTTTCACTTTATTTGGTGGCTACTGAAAATAGAGTTTTGACAGACAAAGGCACGTCAACTGAGCACTCCTAAATTCATTCCTAAATTAGGTAATGCTTATTTTTATTAGTTTAAATAATTTCAAAGATTAAATACTGATTTAAAAAAAATCATATAAAAACATTGAGAAAAAATATAAATGTTGATCCTTGATGAGATGGATTTGAAGACAGAAATCCGACCCATCAGTATTAATTTATTCTATCACATTTGTACATTTAAGTACAATTTGCTAAGGGTTTGGGGGAATGCCTTCTTTTGAAGATTTCATTTTGTGGGAATCTTTTCTTGTGAGATGGGTATGGTTTGATTGCAGTGAAAACAGTGCAGTTTTGATTACAGCATCATTGCTTAAAAATAATGCTTGCTCATTAACTTTTGATGACATGAAGTTAATTAAATTAACAACAAAATCTTTTTTTTTTTTAAACAGACACTGGTAGGTATATCATAGTACACTCAAAAAAAATACAAAATAAATAAATAAAAGGTTTACAAACTTTAGCTGGTCCAAAGAATGTTTAAATTAAACATTTCGCTTATGTTTGTCTATTAAAACCAAAAGAGTTGTGTTGAATAATAGAAAAAGTAAGTTTTCAAATTTACACAGCTCACTTAATTAAAATGAATGAATGGGAGTTATGTTGCTTCTGCACAGTACCACATTTTGGTCAATAGGTCAACATAACATTCATAATTTAGCTTTAATCTTTTTAAATATATAGAGTGTAATAACTAAATAGAATAAAGCAAAATTGATAACTTAACATTGTTTATCTTTACATTATAACATTATTTATGATTTATTTAACTAAAATAAATATTCTTTCTTTATGATGACTCAGTTACGTGGAACCTGCTGACTTAAAAAAAGTTAATAAAAACCAAAATATCTTTTTTTTTTTTTTTTTTTTTGTACTTCCGTATTTAGGGGTTTGCATCACTTTTAGTAAACATTAAGCAATACATGAAGTTATATGATTAACAATGGACTGGGGGAGGTCTTTAGGGGTGACAAAATGAGTCTCAAAGAGTCTCAAAATGTTATGCAAATAGCATATACTGTAACTAATGCACATGGCAATAGTTGCAGTGAATGTAGCTTATGTTCAGTAAACAAGCCCAATTAAATACTAAAGATTCTTGCAACCGCATTGCAGCTCTTACATTCCTGTATGGCCATTTTTAGTGTTTTCCCATTTTCACTTTTCTAGAAGTAGGCCATTTTATTCACCTAACATGGACTCTGTAGGTATTTATATAATATATAATGCAGCTGTCATATCCTATCCAAAAAAACTGCCATTTTATATTAGTTTAGAATCCAAAGTGGTTTCTTAAGCCTGTTTAGAATTGCAGATAAGCTCTACTAACTTGTCAGGCAGCCGTGCTTTTTTTTGCTGATGCTACCAGTTTTACTGTAAAGTATGTGTAGTTTACGCTTACTGTACCAGCATCTCTTAGCTTCCCAAAGAAAGTTATCTTTGATTCACACAAAAGTCATCTGGTGCCACATATTGTGTCCTAACATTGTAAATTATTTACTGTTGCCTCAGCCACAAGGCTCTTAAATGGATTTGATCTTGTTGGCTTTGTTAAAGCTATAAATGTCTGTGAACCCCCTTGAAGAATCCATAAAAAATCTGAAAATGTAAATAATTTTGTCACACTTAATTTTGGTCCATTTGTTGAATTAAAGTTACATCGCTTTTAAATGCCAACTAATTCTCATTGGATTATAAGTAGGCTGTTAGTTTGGGATTAGGTTTAGAGTTAGTGTAAGTTGGCATATACAGTACTTGCAAAGTTTCTTATAGTCAGTTAAATGTCTGTTGAAGGAGGAGTAACAGTAGATATTAAGCAGACAGTCTACTAATACTCAAATGGACCATCAAAATAAAGTGTTACCCATGAACCTTGAAATGATTTTCTGCATGTGGTTGTTGGCTACAATCTGACCTGAAAAATAAATAAATAAAATGAAATAAATCCACAGAGCGGATAAAGTTTAGATGTTGTTTTGGGATATTT